TCTTTTTATTGGGCCTTGTTGGATGGCGCCCCCCCCCCCCGTCCCGTGAATTGACCGCACTCCTTCACGTAGTGGCCCCCGAAACGTCACGTCAAAACGTCAAATTTTACGACAACATGACATGGAGGGGTGAAAAAAGGTGTTATGTGACTAATCTGGAGAGGGCACACAAAATGCTAATCTGTGGCTGGATATTGCACAACTTTGATATTTAAGATTCCAATATTCCCGTTTGTACGGATACTTGTCATGTTCATCCTCCCGACAGGCGCTTTTAACGTGTTAGCTAGTGTAGTTATGTTTGAAAATATGTTGAACATTGAATAAATATGAACCCATGTCTATTGGCGGTTTGTTATTCACATATTCACCTATTCATGGTTATTGTGCTTGAGCTACAACACTAAGATGCCACAAGATGGCGCCAAAGCCTTGGCTTTTAGGAAGCGAGTAAGTCGTATCAAGGAGGTACGTTAACATCTTTGAGTGATGGGGTGCAGCTAAGGTTAGACTGGGATGTTCGTCGATGCAAGAGTCTTTGCTGCATGGACATGTCTATCTCCACCTCCTATTTTTTGTTTGTTTGAATCAAATGATATGTAAACTATTCATTTTTATTTTTAAGGGTAATGTTGTCAGTTCACTTTGAAATTACATGTTTTGTGTTCATAGTTTGTGCTATTTCTATGCTATTAATATAGCATGTAGCATACATTTTTGGCAATGGAGAACTGGGAGACTTCATTGAGAATGGGAATGTGGGATGAAGTCAGCGTACGCACGGAAAAGCTACGTAAGCACGTCCACGCAGCAGATATTCCAACATCGATTCAGACCAAGATCTGCCGACAGGGAGGCAGATCTGCTAACCACTTCTGCGACGGCAAAAAGTCAAATGCTCCTTTTCACGTATGGACTCTTCAGCCAACATGCATGTTTTGGAATGTGGGAGGAAGCCGGAGGACAACGAGACAACCCAGGCAAGATTCGGGAGAAGCTCAAATGTAGAGTCCAACCCCAATCTCATGACTGAGGCAGGAGTGCGATTGGCTAACCGCTAATTTACCGCACGGTTGGCCGCTATATGAGGCAACGACGGCAATTCTTTTCCCAACGCTCCGTATTGGCCCACGTCCCTACATGGCCATAGTGGTCAGGTGCTGATGCCCGATAAGTCCCTTGCGGGCGCCGCCCGCCCCTGGGTGCCCGGCTCCGTTGCCGTGGCCGCAGTACTCCTGCAGGTTCTGCCGCAACGTCACCAGCGCCGAGCCCAAGCAGGCCCGATTGGGAGCCAAGACCCCACCGGGAAGCTGGAAGAGGACGGTGGCCACCCCAGCCATGCCGTCGTCGGTGGGCTCCAGGGTGATGGGCCCCACCTTGAAGGAGGAGTAGGAGAAGCCCATGAGCTGCGAGAGAAAGGGGTCGGAGCGGCAGAAGTGCTGGTAGCCGCTGTAGGTGGACGGGTGGTGCTGCAGCGAGGCTTGGTTGCCGGCGGTGGTGCCGGCATAGTGGTGGGTGTTCAGGTAGTGCAGAGGAAGATGCTGGCCGTTGTTGCCCCCGCCCGGGGCCAGATGGTGCTGGTGGTGCCCGGCGGGTCCCGAGGCGAGGTCATGTTTGTAGGACACGGCCCCGGTGCGGCCCCTCTGGCCCACCATAACCCCTCCAAGCTTGGCAGAGCGGGTGTGGGCGACCGACATGCCGCCCCCGCCGCTTGACGGGAGATAAATGAGCTGCGGCTCATCCGGCTCCAGGTAGATGGTGAGTTTGGCGAAGGGGCGCGACGCCATCTTCGTCATCTCTTGGATGTGTCTCCGCTGTTCCCGCCGGAAGTCCAGGAACTGCTTGACCTTCCACAGGAGCACGCAGACAGAAAGGAAGAGGAAAAAGCAGGAGAAAAAGACGGAAAAGAAGACAAACAGGTCGATGTGGGCTTGGTCCTGGCGCAGGAAGAGCAGGCCTTGGGACTCGCCCTGGTTGGCCGCCGTTCCCACCCCTCGGAGGGCGATGTAGAAGCGGCTGGACTTGAGAGAGTGCACTTCGTGCGGGAAGGTGATGACCACCCGGTCCCGAACGCCTCGGACGATCAGAACAGTCTGCGGTTTCCAAACGGTGATGTAAGAAATAAGGCCCTTGGCACGTTCCTCACGAATCTCCCTCTCCGAGCCTGGCGGCTTCGCCTGCAGCTGCAGTGGATTGTTGGAGATGACGCCTCCCCCAACACCCGACGAGGCATTGGGAAACAACTTGATCGGCGATGGCGGCGAGTCCTTGTCCACCCCCGCCGTCGTAGTCCCTCGCGACTCTTCCTCGATCTTGATGGCATGGACGCCCGAGCGGCGGTCCACGTCCACGATGAAGGTGTCGTGGGAGTTGGACACGTACACCTCCACCTCTCCGAAGGTCACGTCGATGGTGACCCGGATGTCAACGTTGGTGAACTTGGGTTGGGCGGCGAAGTAGACCGTGCGGCCCCGCGGCAAGTTGCGGATGGCCGGGTCGTGGAAGCAGTTGGTCTGCGACGTGGGGTCGAAGCAGCACTCGGTGTCCACGTTGAATTGCCGGTAGCACTGGCGTCCGTTCACCGGTGTGCCGTTGAAGGAGTCTTTGCACTTGGCGCACTGGAGGCAGTTTTACAAAGTTCATCAGCAAACTTCAGCATCTTAAGCACAGTACACACATATTGAAAATTGGTCTCATTTTCAGCCCAAGTGCCCCCCCACCCTTCCGAGTAAAGTAAAGGTTCAATTTCAGGATGTCGCGAAAAGATTAGCCAGAGAGATTATCCTGTGGTGTGTGGTGTGGTAAAAGTGATTTTTCTTTCACTACAGCAAAGCAAAACAATGCACCAGATGATCGTAACTTAAGTATACACAACCAAGCGGTTCCCCCTCTTCCAATCAAAGACAGGTGCCATTATCGCATGTCTTCAAGAGATCATCCTGAGTTCACTCGAGTTGAATTTTTTTTCCATTCAGTTTAAAAAAACAAAACTCTCGTCCATACCTGTTGTCTGTAGCAGTCTTTGCGGTCGCTCTGAGGGCTACTGAGACAGGAGGAGGTCTCGGTGTTGTTCTGGCACGGACAACCCGTGCCATCGTGCTCATTGCACGTGTCTGCGTGGCCGTTACACTGACACCTGGAATTGGGAGGACATTTTTTTTTCTCTTTGTCTTTTATTGTCATTCTGTGTACTGCACATGTCTATGCGACTCACTGGAGTTTTCACTGCCCTCCAGCTCTCCGGAGTAATCCTATTGTTAGCAATTGTCAACGGCAGCTTCTGCGTGATGTGCTCAGTGTATTTGACTAAAGTTGTATGTCAATAACGGCGAGGACGCACTCTATTGCCAGTCACCTCGCTCAATGTGTGTCAAACCCAATCCTAAAGGCGACCACTCACTTTTCACACTTCCCCTGCAGCAGGAAGTAGCCGCTGAGGCAGCTCTCGCACTTGTCGCCAACGCTGTTGTTCTGGCAGCTCACGCACACCGCATTCTCCTCGGTGGGACCCTCGGACACCCAGTTGTGGATCTGTTGAAGAGGGAAGTCTGCATCACTTCAACACTAAGGTTTGAAAAAGCATTTTTAGAATTATTATTAAACGAAGGGTGATAGAGCCTTCCGATATGTCGCCCCCGCCCCCATATTGCGGAATGCAGTAAAAATAAAATGTACTCAATAACAGACTTCCGTGAATGTTTGACCAGGCAGTTGTGAAGACAAAGTAGTTTACTTTTTTTTTGGGGGGGGGGGGGGGGTAAAGGGGAGGATGAAGTCAAAATATCATAGCTATTGTCTCTCTTATCTTTCAGTTCCAAACCTTGCATGTTACCATTCTCTTTGTCTCGACTAAATCAAAAACTTAAGGGTCACGGTGGTTTTTTTCTGTGAATAATGGAGGACAAGTAAAAAAAAACAACTCGTCATAACACAAGGAGGAACAGGACTTGCATCATTAAATGGACTCAGCATCATAGCACACTGGAGGGTTGCCACGTTTGTGTGCACAATCTAAAAGAGTCACTTATTTTAAAAGCAAAACAAATGGCAAACTGTCGTGTAAACTAAATACGTGTGAAGAGGCAAACCTGGTCAAGTTGTGTAGTTCAAATCCAAGTCGAGTGTCATGAATACAAGTACAAGTCGAGTCTTTCATGAGTTTTAGCCAAGTCTTCAAAGTGTCAACTTCATTCCGACCCAAGTGCCCCACCTCTGGCGATGATGCTCGCTACTCACGCTGTTGGACTCCAGGGGAAAGCGGCGCAGGTTCTCTTGGGCCTTCTTGTGCTCATCGCGGGACAGACACAAAGCGCTGTTGCCCCGGCAGAACTCCCGGCACGGCCGACAGTTGCCGCCGCCTTTGGCCGAGCCCACGAACAGCGGCTTGCACTTCTCGCAATGCTTGCCCTGCAATCAGAGGAAGGCAAAAGCGTAAAAACACCCAGCGAGTGCGTGCTGTGCAAATCCTGACCACTTACGATGGTGTTGTTGTGGCATTCGAGGCAAACGTCGGGCTTGGCGACGCTGGCACAATTGCTGTGTTTGTTGCAGCTGCATTGGGAGGAGCAGTTGTCCCCCACGAAGCCAAAGTGACAACGGCACACGCCGGGCGACATGCACGTCCCGTTCACGCAGCCCTGAGCGCACACCGGCTCACACTGACCACTTACGCTAGACACAAGATGAAAGGAAAACGAAATTGAATGCAGTAGTCTCACCTCGAGAGTTGAACACGATGCAGTGAGCAGAGCTGTTTTGCTAACAGTTTTAGTTTCTGAAAAGTGGCACATTCATTCCATTGCTTATTTGAAATTGTCGAAGGGCTGGCATGAGTTGGGTACTGTAAGGTACGTGCTATACAGCTCTTAACTTGCAATGAGTTGACACCTGCCCCATAAATGAGGCGACTAGAGATTGAGTGCGTAGTTAATTAATCACTGGAGTATTTTGCCAGCAAAAGCTCAAGAAAACGGCAAACGTAGGCTCAGAATAAATCATCTTATCACATGCGAGGGTCAAAGTGTCACCATATCGCACGACGTCTTGCAAGTTCACCATTTAGAGCAACTCTAGAGGCCTCTTTTTCAGAATCAGAATCAGAATCATCTTTATTGGCCAAGTATGTAGAACACACAAGGAATTTGTCTCCGGTATAACATGCTGCATTAGTATCATCATAAACAAGGACATGACAAATAGGTATGGAAGGACATTTCGTAAAGTAAGTGAACCGTAGTGCGGTGGTTCCACCCAGTGACAACTGTGAGACAATGTGCAAAGTATCAAGCAGAGCTAAAGTGATCACTGGTAAAATACAATACTAGTTGTACAGTTGGTGCAGAAAATCATTTAACCATTTCAGAGTGACCAGTAGCAGTATTTGTTGTACAAGAAGAGTGACTACATCAGTGACTGTTTAGGGAGTAAATGGCTAGAGGGAAGAAGCTGTTTTAAGTGTCTGCTGGATTTGGTGCGCATGGATCACAACATTTTGGAGTCATCTCTAAATGTGGTTGCGCTGACTTTATTAAACAGGTGACCAGTGAGCTCACCCGCTGAGTATGTAGCCTTGTTTACAAGTGCAGTCGTATCCTTGAGAGAGGTCATGGCAGTCCTGGGTGCTGTTGCAGTGGTGATGGCCGTTTGCGCACTCATCCTCCTCTGGACAGTGCAGGAAGGACCAGCTGCTGTTCCGCAGAGGACACACACCCTCGCTGACTCCTGTGAGGACAAACGAGTACACCGGTTAAAACTTGGCCCAAAAACATTTGGGAAGAGCCCATCCAAACTGAAGGGTTGTCACCTTCAAGTCCTCCTTGAAGGCAGTATCCCGCTCCGTTTCCCCCCCGCGTGGCGCACCAGCCACACTGGGGCCTGGCAATACACTGGGAGCACTGGGTGAGCTGGGAGCACTGCGGAGAGCAGGAGTCCCCGCCGGAGAGAAGGCGACCGCACTGGCCCGCTTCACATCGCAACGGCACAAACGATGGACTCATGCACTGCAGAGGCGGCATCAGAAATAAGTCATATCAGGTGTATCCGCCTTTGGATTAGTAGTTAATATAAAATATCGCCCTTTTTGGCATCAATGACTCTGTTATGTCTCTGATAGTAACAGGTGGAAGATGGAAAAAATTTGGAGAAACGACATATTTTACAGCAGGGCTGCCCAACCCCGGTCCTCCAGGGCCCCAATCTAGCATGTTTTGGATGTGTCTCTCCTCCAACACAACTCGCTCAAATGGTTAGGATTGTTATCAGGCTTCTCAGAACTTGCTGATGAGCTGATCATTTTAATCAGGTGTGTTGGGAGGACGTAGACATCGAAAACATGCTGGACAAGGGCCCTCAAGGACTTTGGTCGGACAGCCCCTTTTTTGATGGACCAAAAAGGAGTTTTTGATATTACCTCTGAGGGAAAAATGTAAAACTTAGTCACCCCATCCAGTGCCTGTGCCGTTTATACAGAATAGTGGCAAGGCGTAAAGAGATTTTTTTTTTTTAATTTGCAAGGAGTGTAAAGGGGGCTAGGTATTATTCTCACTTTTAGCGCTAGTTCAATGTGTCCGTCTTACCTGTTGCAGGGCCATGCTCCACACGCAGTGTTGCCAGCCGCCGTCAGAGCCTCTGGAGCCCAGACAGAGGGTACAGTTGAGGAGGGTGTGGCAGGGCGGAGGGCATGGCAGTGGCGGCGAGGATTCCACCTGCATGGGCGAGACGTTGAGGAGGGCGTAGCTGAAGCAGGTCCAGTCATACGTGGGGTTGACGCTCAGGATACGCCGTGTCTCGCCTGGTGAAAAGAGGTCATCGCAGTGAGTGCCGTTTCGGACAATTATATTTGGATGAACTGTGTCCACAGTCAGTGTCGACAAATGAGGGACCCCCCCCCCCCCCCCGCGCGGGGCGGAGGGCATGGCAGTGGCGGCGAGGATTCCACCTGCATGGGCGAGACGTTGAGGAGGGCGTAGCTGAAGCAGGTCCAGTCATACGTGGGGTTGACGCTCAGGATACGCCGTGTCTCGCCTGGTGAAAAGAGGTCATCGCAGTGAGTGCCGTTTCGGACAATTATATTTGGATGAACTGTGTCCACAGTCAGTGTCGACAAATGAGGGACCCCCCCCCTCCCCCCAGCAGGGGGAAAAAAAAAAAAAAGACTAGTAATGGGTTTAATTTTCGCTAAGAAACAAACAACGTGGGCAGAATCATTTTAATTTTCATGCATACAATTATATTTAACTTGGAAATCTGAATATTGTGACCCAAAAAAAATAGGGGACCATATTACCCCGCCCTGATTATGGTAAGACTATTGCTGGGACCTGTGCGTTTGAACTGGCGGGTCCACATGCATTTTCCCGACGCCGTGCACTTGGGGCAGTCGGAAGCCTCGCAGCTGGTTTCCGTGCAGTTGCTGGAAAGGAAGATCTCTCGCTGGTTGATGCGACAGTCGTGCTCGGATGTGCAGCTCACCGAGCTGCTGATGCAAGCCCCCTCGGGGCAGTTGGTGCACCACTTGCATTGGAAAGCAGGCTGGAAAACCGGAATGCAAAGATTTAACACAAGAGGAGTCATGTTCGGTGGAGTTATGATACTCGGCGGGAACAACCTGCGATGGACCCGAGAATGTCTTGGGATGACGGGCCAGGCATTCGCTGCAGGTCTTAAGTCTGCGGCACTGATCTGGCTGGCGCGGGGTTGGCGAACAGGGCGACTGGCCAGTGAAACAGCCCATTCTATTCGGAAGGGGGGGGAGAGAAATATAAGCTCAATATCGACAAAACAAGTCAATCCTTCAAAGACGAACGGCTGGGGTCTAAAAGTGAAAATATGACCACATTTTTAAGACAATACAGTGGAACACTGGTCCTTCTTAAGGTCAACGGTGAGATAGACGGAGCCTACTGAAGTTTGGCCGACATCATTGAGCAACTTGGGAAGTTTCACTGTTGATGAAAATAACTTCAACCAAGCGCTCATGTGTTACCGTTCAGCACTATCGGAAGATGCGCAGGCTCCTCGGCACCAAACACAGCTGCCGGTGGTGGTGTTGCAGGTCTCCGGCGTGGCCATCACTGCACAGGGGTCGGCGGGCACCGTTAGGTTCAGGAGTCGTCCCAAGGTGACCCCGTTGAAGCCCCCCGATAAGAAGAGGCTGCCGCCCCAGCTCGTCATGGCAAGAGACACAGAGCGATTGACCGAGTCGCCAATGGCAGAGTCTGAGAGATACGGATGCGACGTGAGGACAAGAGAGCGCAACTGAGGAAGGTGCAAAGAGATGAGATGGACTACCTGGTTGGATCCAGGTGTTGCAGTTGATCTGGTACAAGAACACCGAGTTGCTATAATCCTCCGCTTCTGTCTGTCCCCCCACGATGACCATGGTGTCTTTCATCAGGGCTGCAGCGTGGAAGAAACGGGAGATGGGCTGCAAAAAACAAAAACAAAAAAACAAGTGGAATGTCAGAAATAGATAATAGATCATCTTTTTTTTTGATTCAACACTAGGAATCCACATGCTTTCGTGGAAGAATACAAATGATCGCAATCACCAGACATTGAAACACCTGGGAAGTGTTATAAATTGTAAAAAAAAAAAAAATTAAAAAAAAAAAAGCAATAATGATGGGCAAATTACTTGCAATTTGACATTTAGAAAGTAGCTCTCCTTACCTTGTTACCCTGCGAGGGTACCAGGAGTGACCAGGTGAAGTTGGGGTAGTACAGGCTGTAAAGCTCTCCTGATGGCTCCACAGCCTCCACATGGAAACGATAACCCCCAAACACATAGACAGCGTCCGTCTGCTCGTGGTAAACGGCCGAGTGGCCGTATAAGCCCGTCGGTGGCGTGCCGGTGTGTGCTACGATTGTCCAGTTTCCCGTGTGAGGGCTGAACTCGAGCAGGTGGTGGTTGAAGCCGTTTTCTGGAGAGTAACCGCCAATCAGGAGCACCGAGTTGTCCCGACGCACTGTCAGCGTGTGGCCCGCCACCGAAGGCAGCACTGAGCTCTGCCAGAGTGTAAAGGGGTTCAGAGTAGGGCAGAGTAATCAGCTTGAAGTATAAATATCGCAGATTCTACATGAGAAGCCCGTTTCTTTACCTTGTGCTCTCTCCAGACCAAACTGCTGAGGTTGAGACTCCAAGTGTCCATGGCAACAGAGTGCTGAGTGACTCCGCCCACTACCAGCATGCAGCTGTGACTGGTTCCCATTTCGTGGCTGCTCAACAGGGCCGCGGCGTGATGATAACGAGGTGCTGGGGTGGAACCCTCGTCTGCCGAACTCGTCAACATTTGAGTCCAACGGCGCTCTAACACGGAATATCTAAAACGAGATGGAAAGCCGTGATCACACAATTGAAGATAGAGCGGTTGCTTCTTTCGAGAGCGGTAACCAATATTTGGGGATATATGGTACAAAGTATTATTATGACTTGATTTGATTGATTGATATTATTACTTGAGCAACAATATCGCTGATGTGACTGTTAGTTACCTGTAAATATTTCCGAGAATGCCCTCTGAAAGAGAGAGTCCCCCATACATCCAAAGATTGCCGTGAGGTCCAGAAACCAGAGAGTGGCCCATCCTGTGGAGGAACCTGTGGGCTTGATTCTGTAGGGGGGAAAAAAAGTGTGTCTAAATGTGTGGTGCTACATGGCATTGAGCGTTTATCGCATTGTTGTATTCATGCTGTACCACTGTCAATTGCGTGTCCAGTAGCGTCTCCCAGATCAGGCTGTTGGAGTCTCGGGGCACAGCGCAGTCAGAGCCAGCCCAGTTCTCTGAGCACACACACACTCCCAGCGTCTGAGAGAAGCAAAGGTGACAGTAAAACATTTGTCAATCAATGCAACCAAATCACACCGCCACCAACTGCAATTAATCTGAATTGATGATCACGCCGCTTACTAGATTACAAGTTCCTCGTCCCTCTGCAAGCCCACAATCTTGGGGACAAACGGGGCGGTCGCAGTGGGGGCCGCCGTATCCCGGGGGGCACTGGCAGAGCCCGCCTTGGCACTGCGCGCCGCCCGGACACACGGGCGACCCGTCGTCGCTCTCGTCGGCGCTGTGGCGACACCGCCGCACCCAGAAGGATGCATTGAAGCCTTGGGGTTTGTTTGACGACACGTTGGCCTCGAAGTAGACAGAGATCACACCTGGCGGGCGGGAAATGGGGGATGGAGACGAGGGTCGCATTATCTGTTCAGCTGGTTTTAAATGAGTACACGTAGGGGCAGGGTACCTGAGGTGGCCTCGACGGTGATAGGCTGCGTCCTTGTCGTGCCGCAAAATGCGCCGATCAAGTTATGGTCTGAATGTACGACGCCGTTATCCAGGAAACGGGGAAGGCCATCAAACACATATACGTATGAGCTCTGCAAAATCAATAAATGAATGTATTTATAGTGGATATAAAAAGTCTTCGCAACCCTGTTCTAATGCCAAGTGTTCGTGAGATGAGAAACTGAGAGTAAAAAATAAATGCATTTCAAATCTGTCCCCAACATGAACGTGACCAATTAACAATACAACTCAATTGCAATCAAGTCAGACAAAGTTACATTTCTTGTTCTAATATCACACACGGTGGTTCCCCCATACTGTGTAAATGTGTTTTTGATGCTTTTGAACTATGTCAACACAACAGAGCGTTCCCACAAAAGCAGCCGAGCTGACTCACTTTACAGTGGGTATGGGAGTCGGGGTGCAGCGTGAGGGCAACAGGCGGACACAGCTGCCTGGGGAGACATGGCGCCAGGCTCTCCGTCACCGACAGGACCCAAAGGCAATGGGAGAGTCCACCATTGCCTTCAGCGCCACTCCGCCAGCCCAGGGATGAGGAGAGCGGTACGCCAGGGGACGAGGAGGTGGAGGAGAGCAGCACCGAGCGTCCTTGGCACTGGCGGTAGCAAGTGCCATTATTCCTGAAGGAGGGAGAAAACACGTCAGCATAGACCATCTCATATGTGCTCCTGTGTTTATGATGTTCGAGAAACGCAGAATTGAAACATAGGAAAAGAAACGCTTGCAATTTGTGTTGTCATACTTTTAAATGTGTTAAAGACGTGCGAGAGGAGTGACATTTTTTTTTTTTTTTAAATGGTCTCTTAATATTGGGCCTTTTGTGGGTGGGTTTGGAATGTATCCTCCGCGATAAAAACCCTGGATTCACAAAATGTGTAGAATGAGCATTTACCTGGGGTCACCGTAGTAACCAGGCAGGCAGGACTCACAGTGCAGGCCCTGGGTGTTATGTGTGCAGTAGCACTGGCCCGTCTGGTTGTGGCAGTATCCTCGCAGCGGGTCGCCGTGGCCATTACACTCACACTGGAGGCATCCACCGCCGCCGGCCATGGCCGAGCCGAAGCTCCCTGGGCGACAGTGCTCACAATGGGGCCCTGTGGTCCAGTCTGAAAAGAGAAGCCAGAGGAAATTCAGTTGTGTCGTACCCGAAGGAAATAAAATCATCTTTTTTTGAGGTTCCACCTTGGCATTCATCGCATATCCCTGGCGCGGTGATACAGGTGGAGTGAAAGTTGCAGCCGCAGTCCACGTCACACTCGACGCCGCTCAGAACCAGAGTGGCGGGATCGGATGTCCAACCCAGTGAGCATTCACACTCGAAGCGCGGGCTGCCGCTGCATTGGCCCTCTCTGCACTCATTGTAGCAGCTGCGGGTTGGGGAGGTTTCAGTTGAAACATCTTTTCAGAGGCCGCATTGTGGAAAATGAACTTTTTAATCTCTTGTATGAAAATAGTTGGGTCCCTCGAGTGTTCTCACTGTGCAATGTTTACGGACGAAGCTGCGGCACGAACAGCCAGAGCACATCAACGGCAAATAGGTTGGATTTTTTTTTTTTTTGTGCTAGTAACGGCAAAATTGCGAATAGTGACCCTGATTCACGGGGAAAGACTCCATGTGCTCTGTAGTGCAGTGTTTGAAGGGCTGCCTACACGATTACAAATGCTTTCAATGTCTTGATGGGAACTCGCTTTGGGCTGGTCCCTTAAAACACAGAGGACGTTTAAAAGTGCTTTTATCGTTGGTCCACTGACAAAAGTTTGTTCGAAAGCCATCATGAACCCTGAAAACTGTTTTAAATGGTGACAAAATGCATAACCCTTACGTCTGGTTGCAATGCAAAGTGCCGTCCCCCGTGTAGCCTCGTTCACAGTGGCATTCGTAAGAGGTGGGGGTGTTGATGCAGGTGGCGAAGGGGTGGCAGTTGTGGAGGCCCAGGCGGCATTCTTCTACATCGGGGCAAGTGGGGTAAGACCACACGGCATCTTGCTCTTCGCCTTCCATGTGCTCCAGATCCAGCTCCATGTCCATGTCCAGAGGACGAGGTGGGGCAGAAGTCTGCGGCTCAGGGCTAGAAGGGAAAAAAAAAAAAAAAAAACAAACAGAAAATCATCAATCAAATGATCTGATTTCTTTCCTACAGCAAATGCCCTCGTTTGATGGCGGGTGCGTTGGGACTGACTTGGCGGCTCGGGCTTCAGCGACGGCCACGCTGCAGTTAAACACAGAGGGGTCGTCCATTCCTGCCCAATCGCCTCTCAAACATCTAAAAAATGAATAAATAAATAAAATGGCAGCGTAAAACAATCACAGGATGACATGATGTCACCTTTGCTGTCAACTCGACTTACTTTCCAATGGTAGGGTTGTTGTAGTCGCCACACCAGCCGCACTGGAACGTTCGCAGGCAGTCGGTGCAAGTGTTTAAAGCAGAACAGTGCTTGCATTGTGGAACCGAATGCACACTGGCAAGTCAGGAAATGGCAAAATTAAGATCCTGAACACAATTTTCAAGGTGCCTGAGAAGTGTCGCGTGATTGCTACCTGTCATACCAGTCCCTGCACTCTCCGTAAGGGTACTTAGTGAGGTAGGCGGCGAAATAGAAGCAGGCCTGGGCAGATTCACACCAAGCACACTGGCTGGAGTTGGAGAGGCACTCGGAACATGTCTTGCGCCTTGGTGGAGCAAAGATGAACACCATTCGAGCAAGCTGTAAGTGCTACTAATTCATCTATTAAGAGTGCTATCATTGTCATCTCACTGGTTGCAGACTCTGGGACAGCCTGAGGGGTGGCGTATGGAGCCCTCCAAGCGGCCTCTCCTGCTGCACTGGTAGTCTCCTTTCTTGCTGGAGTTGATCTGCCACTCGCAGTAAAGGTCCTGCGGGAGGACAAAGTCACCTTTGGAAAGGGGAAGCTCTAAATATGATCCAGTTCGTCTAGCCCCGCTTTGCATTGCAAATATTTCACAATTAGTTGACTGACTTGGAAAAAAAAATAAAAATAAAAAACATGCTTTAGGTGTGTGGAATCTTCATTTTAAAATGCAAAAAAAGTATTAGGGCCACAACCTAACAACATATTTCATTGTTTTTCTGGAAATATTACGAGTTTACTCTCCAAAAACTACCCGGGGATGTGTAAGTAATATTAAAATTTGTTTTCTAAAAATGTAGAATTTTTACCTCTTGAAATTACGGCTTTACTCTGACAAAATTATCATTTATTTTTCGTAATTTCACAAATTTTAGTCCCTTTTAATGACTGAACAATGTTGTCTTTATTTTTGCAATCTTCCCTCTTCATTCTGACAGTACAGTTGTCCCTCGCAGTTCGCTTTTTGCGCCTTCACTGCATTTATTCTCGTAACATTACAACTTTAGTCATGTGTGATTCTCCATTTCTACAAGTAAATGATCATCTTTATTCTCATAAAATGATATAGTTGAACTGCATTCTCAATTTTGCACACATTTTTTTTCATGCAAAATTATGCAATTAATGTTTGTTTTTTTTGTGCCATGTACTGTATCTTCACAAATTTATGGGTGCAAAATCTTGTGGCACCATGAACACATACCTGAGTACAAGTTGAGCAGTCCCTGTACTCTTCGCACAGTGTGCAGTGCTGGGGTGCCAGCAGCAGATGGCGCTGAGCCATCTCGCCCATTCCTCCTCCCAGCGCCCCCTCAGGGCAAGGCTCCGGTTCAGGGCCCCGAAATAGGCAGCGGGAAAGCGAAGGGCACCAGCCGCAAGATTGGTCCGACAGACAGGCCAAACAGGACATGTAGCCTGAACAGGAACCTGAACGATAGGGTTCCAGGAACAGGAAGGAGATTTCCTGCAGTTCAACAGGAGAGAAGATAAGATAAAGTTTCCGTTCCAGAGACGAACAGGAAGGCAAGCAATACTCACGCTCCCTCCCGGCAGAGTTCTGTTCCAGATGAGGGCCATCTCACTGGTCTGCCCTGAACCAGAATTGTTCAAGTAGCCCTCGGCCTGGACCAGGTAATGGTTGCCTCTGGTCAGGTTGGAGAACAGCTTACTCCCATCGGGGCGAGACAGCAGCTTCAGCTCTTTCTCCTGCTGAGCCGCCCAACGACCTACCACCTCCTGCTCGGACACAAAACAAAGCTGGTGTCTATTCAGCCAGTGGGAAGCAAACTCGGGCCTAAGAGAGCATTTGAGCTGATTGATCATGAAATAAAAGATCGTAAATCTTCAGAGGAAATGGTAGGAAAAGCCAACAAACATTTAGCGCATTTCTTCCCAGTATTCTCTCCATATTACAGTAGTATTTTTGAAAAATTACGCCGTTTTTCTCTTGAAAAGACATTTTAACGCTTGCTACATTTCAACTTCACTTTTGTAATATTTCAATTTCTATTCTCTATTGTATGGCTTTTACATTGTCTTTATTTTACTTTGTCTTTCCACGATGTTCTATTATTGCATAATTTGTTTTCAGAAATTGAGTACATCTCTGGGAGACAAAATAAAACAGGAAGACTGCTGCTCCCAAACCCAGTATTCAAGTGTCACGACGTGCCCCATTTTGCTCACTAGTTGGCTGGAGTTGGGACCCGATGCCACCCGAGCCTCAAAATGGAGCCTCTGGATGCGAGCCCACATGGAGACGGTCTCGGCGGGAGGGGCCGTTGGCGCGCCCCAAAGAGGGTGGATGAAGCCCCTGAACTGCAGGGCCACGTCCATCTCGGTGGTCGGGCTGAGGATGATGGTGGTGCTGCGCAGGATGGACACCTGACAACAGTAGGGGGGGGGGGGGGCACAGGGGGGGGGGGGGGGGGGCG